AGACACACAGACAATAAGCTCCATGTTATTAGGCCGCCACTAGGAAATTGACCGCCACTATCAAAATCGCGACACAAGTAACACTTGCAAGGCTAAGGACAGGACATACACACTCTACACATTCATATCTTCTGTCCACCGGCAATCCACAATTGTGTGAGAGATGTGGATAACCCCTTACGGTTCTCCACATTCTCGTCCAGTGAAATGAGTTAGATGCTATAATAAAAAAGCACTTTTTACTGTCCTACCGACAGCAGCTCCCACTACACTCAGGGATGCTCATCGGTCACATTTTTAAAAAATGTTCGTAGATTTCAGCTCATATTTAGAGGTGATCCGTAGCACGACCTCTGTACCATGCTCGTGGCTGCGGTGACTACATCTTCGTCGTGGTTTTATTATCATGCCATTTTGCCATTCCCTTTCACTGCACATATTTCACGCCAATGTCATGATTTCATTACTTCTATGTTTTACCCGCCTTAGCGCGAGGAATTTTAAGGCCCCTTTACTGCCACACATCATATCATTGTTCATATCTCTAGTTTATTGAAATGGCGCTCTTTGGCCATCGATTGGCCCTTGCATCATAAAATACCACTCAACATCATCAATACGTTGGATACCACACGTATCCCACTCTTCGTTGGCCACTAGTGCAGAGAAGAGCAAAATTAATTTGCATTATGTGTCAGAATAGGATGCATGTGGACTTCTGTCTGCAGTTTCAATCATTTCTTTCAGGTGAGAAATTAAAAGAGGCTGCAGCAAACGCAAAATCAAAGTGCAGGGAGAAAGACGTGAAGTTAGACAAAATCTCCGTGGCCCCTTGTTTGTGCAGTTTAGTCATGCTGTCGTGCTAATCAAACTCAGCACTTCACGTCGCTTTTTTGCAGACTTGCTGGCGAAGGGCTTGCGATAAAGACGACTGGACCGGGATATACACCACGTATATCACAAACGTCACATTCTTTACCCTGTAATTTTTCGTGCGCTACGACTCGAACAAGTTGACATAGCACCTTGAGTTCAGATTTGCGTGCACGTAAAGAACCCCAGGTGTTGGAAATTTCCGGAGCCCTCCGCTACAGGGTCCCTCATATTGTTAGGGTGTTTTCGGGACGTTAAACCCCACGTCTCAATCAACTTGACATAGCACGACGTTGCTTCAGCACTCCAAACTTTTCCGAATTGATGCTTCAGTAATCAAATAAGGTGATATTCTTATTGGAATAGAAGCATAAAACGAAAAGGCATTAACAATCGTGAAAGAATGTGTTTCAATACACCGATTTCCGTTGATCACCTCATATCTCCTGTGCTGTCCCTTGGCGTAACCTGAGAGATGTCCATACCCTTGTGGGATACGGTCACGTCCCCCTTAGTGGGCATGTACCACACGTGCTTTTTTTATCACATTATAACACGCGAGAAAATATCGTTATACTGTTGTTGTTTCACTTATGAATGTCACGGGTTACTGTGATTTCAAGCTGAAAGGGCAAAATCAGCAAGAACCTGTCGGCAGGTCATTCCCCTTGGAAACAGACACGTTCATTTATTTTTACGCGCTTTATTTTTCGCCTTTTCAGCTGTAATACATCCGGCATAATAACAAAGTGGTGTATTTCCTCATGAAATAGCATCCTGCCACAGAGTTTAGACATTCGTTCTTTGAATACGTTCGCATAGGTCCCGTGACTATTTCAAGCAGGCCTGTCAACACGTGAATTCATCGTAACGCCCGTGTGACTTTCCGCCGAATATGCCGCCCGTGTGACTTTCCTGCACGGGAAGTGTACAGATTTGCATGCCTTTGTGTTTTGGTGATTTATAAAAGGACGGCTGTGAATTACGAACATTTCATGCGAGGAATTCACTCGGATAGCATTCAACATGATTGCCTGCGTTATTGCAGCGATTGCGTCACTTCTGGTTGGGGTGCAAGCTGGATCTGGTAAGCGCTGCCGCTGCGACCAGGAGGTCATTTGGCGGTGATCTCTGTGGGAAAACTCTCCTTAAGAGAGTTTGACATTAGAGGCGTCGATGACCGCTGGGAAAGCGTCTACAATGCCCGATGACCATGCTTGATAAAGAATAAGTCGTTACGTCCAATATGTATTTTTGTTCCAGGAGGTGTATGCTAAGTAAGTTTCTCCAATCGAAGAAAGACATCTAATGGTGTATAGACTTACTGGAAAGTGTTTAAAGACAGCGATCTATGTAATTGTCAGCTTGCGCTCGATATCTTCAGTGTTGTCTTCCCATTCATCAACATTTAGGCATCAACATCTATGACACATGTATCTGCAGTTCGTCACACCTAGCACCATCTTAATTTCAGCAATAAACATATTTCACGCTCCTATCGGCTGATTTTCAGGCCCTGAGTGCCAATCCTCAATGATACTTCAATTCAATGCTGAGCAGCACCTCAGTGCTGCAAATACATGCCATTGTTTGATATGCTTAGCATTTGTTTCCTATATAGTTTTTCTATATAGTATCTTCCAGTACCAATATCATGGTCACTGTTTATGATTAACAACTAAATGGTGTCCTTGAGCTTAGCCTCCTGTAATTGAATAAACATCGGGACTCAAGATTTTTTTTTTTTACTTCAGTGGCAGATTTTACAATGCACGGACTAAAAATCGCTGCCTAAGCACTCCGTGCAACAGGTTAACCAGCGAAAGCTGTAACCGGCGGCCTAAGTGTTTAGCAGTTGGTTCAACCCGACGCTGCACCGAAGCCTTTCATAATTATTGGTTACAGGTTCTTCCTTCTTAATAAGGTCATACACTTGTTTGCCTTGAATTTACCGCAGTACTTATTTTCACATGCCGCGCATTGTGCCTCGCATGGTGACTCATGGAGGAGTGCAATGAGCAGTTAAATTCGTTTCGCAATGCCTTAATCACAGTGGTTGATCTCGAACCACAGGTGGTCACGGACGTCGCAGCCGAAGCCAAAGTACCGCTGGAGAAACTCCCGCCGAAAGGGAACGTTCACCCAGGCGAACGGGCTCCCGCAGTCGTCGCGTTAACAATGTCGTTCCCGCAATGGCGCTGGCTCGGCGCGTTGCGTTGTTGCAAGCATTTACAATCGCGAGTTAACTCGGCGGCGTTGTTTGCAGGATCGGCCCGCGACCGGCGCTTGCATTCCCGTTCACGATTTAGCACGGCTTGGAAGGCTGCCTGATCATCGGTACGCAGCTGCTGCTGACACTCGATCTCGCGGACTTGTGTTTTTTTTTTTTTTTGCCCGGACTGCACCACCGGCCCGGTGATTGCGAGCTCTCTCACGTTGGCATGGCTGGCGCTCATTCTATAGAGTTGTTCGTGGCACACTCATGTGGCAGGTTTCAGTAGAAACTGGTGCGCGCGTGCTTGGCGCACCGGCTGAGATGGAATTGACGACGTCCTTCACAACGCAATGGCGCGCTTGCTTGGGCACGACGCTGAGAAACGACGTAATATATAGTACAGCTAATGGAGACCATTCGTGACACCACTGCAGGGCAGTTCTTCGTTCCTACGAGCCCTATATAGCTTTCGCTGTCAAAATATAAGAGTATATCATTGCAATAGGAGTTAGCTGAACCATTATAAAAGTATAGTCAAGTGGTCTCTTGCGAATTTCGTCGAGACTCCACGAAGACGAATGCTAGCTTCATATTCTCAGTTGATTGTGCTAATTCCTCACCCCTCCCCATCAAAAAAAAAAGTGCTCTGCACCTCACGCGGCTCTATACTTCCTCCGGAATCGAGACACACTTGACCAAGTGACGGTGTCATGTGATTACAACATCCCATGGTGCCGAATTCGTGCGATATCTTTCTATAATGAGAACGTCACAGTATTACACCATAGACAATGCCATATGACACAGTCGTCACCAAACTTTCGTTACGCCGATGGCACTGGTTCATCCACTTGTGAATCACGTCACTTTTTACCGACCTAATAGTTTGCTTTGTCACCATTTGAGAAGTCCCGCAGTGTCTTAGCAGGTTTCGCTAAATGCCGCTTGGTCTCGGCAAATCTCGAGATTCTTTTTTTTACGCACCGGGTGTATAATTATTTCGCCTACAAAATCATCAAGATAACATAATGTGAGCGTTTAGTGTGTGCGTTTCCAAGTGACATTTTTGCTACAGTGTTGTTACTATGCTCGCTATGTATTAACCTGATTCCTCACGACATATAACACCGTTCCTTACAGCACCCTGCACTACCATAACTTTGCCGGACTTCCTAACGGCTAACTTGGTAAGCAGCTTCATGCAGTACGTATGCTGCCTTCGTAATATTGCAATATTTATTTCATAGCAATGCTTACATGCGTCATTAAATTATTAATAAGAAAATGCCTTTAAGCGTAGGGTATTATTATTATTATTATTATTATTATTATTATTATTATTATTATTATTATTATTATTATTATTATTATTATTATTATTATTATTATTATTATTATTATTATTATTATTATTATTATTATTATTATTATTATTATTATTATTATTATTATTATTATTATTATTATTATTAGTGGACCAATATAGGCCTGGGACTATACAAAAAAATTTAAGACCAAGAACGTGTAGCGAATATTTCACAGGATACAGTACAATTAGTATTTGTCACAACCGTCGGTGGGGTCCCGCAGATATAGCAATGGTGTTGCGGCAGACTCGCAAGCTTCCTCTTAACGCCTACGACGCCTGAACTGCCTCAAAGGAGTACATTTCAAACATTTGTTGGCGGGTCGATCCATGCAGCGTTACACATTTAGTGACGTCCACGATAACTGACACACTCATAGAGCAGGCACGAACATTTGCTGAGTGAAGAGCTAGTCTTTCATTAAAACAATGACACCACAAAAATATATGCAGTAAACTTAGAGAAAAAACAAAGATACGTGCGATGAAAACTGTTGCAAAACAAACTAATCACTAAATGAACCGCTACAGGTGCAAGTTAGGACAATGCGGGATGTTATGAAGATGATTGCAGACACGGTGGAGACTGAGAAAACTCAAAGAAAAATTACATCGCGAATGCTTTGCTCCTTCTTGGGAGATATTTGCGCGACGATGCACACACAACCCCATGAAATGATGTTACCTACTGGTTATAATAAAAAGTATTGCAACCGAAGAAACGAATCACAATGAAAGTTTTGAATTGTGAAGAGCCGGGCCGTGCGGAAACCATCAACAGTTTCATCTCGCTGATTGTTCCAGCAGTGTGATGAGCCGTGCGTGGCCGTGCACTGTCATGCAACAACAAAACTCGTTTCGACAACAAACCTCGGAGTTTCTGTTGGATTGCTTATTGCGTTTGTTGCGAATTGCGAATTTTCAATTCGCAGGAATGCGTGACTGTACACTTGTTTTTCATTGCGAGGATAGTCTGCGGTGAATGTCTGGGCCTTTGACACTCTTCGACCTCAGGACACGGATAATTGCAAAGTCCGCTTCAAAGCCAACCGAGCAGGCTTCTTGACAACTTTGTTCTGTGTCCGAATATTTCATTTTATTTTATGTTACTGAAATTGTAATTCGGAAAAGGTTGCTTACTTTACTTTTTATATTTCTATTTACCAGACACATTGCTATGACCAACAGCCCCTTGACATCTGCACTCCATACAATGTGAGTCAACCGTTTCCTTTAGGGTGGGAAAAAAAGCCTCTTGCTCAAGAAACATCCCAAAAAAGCGCGAAAACTTTGATCTAGTCCAATGATAAACCATCCTCGGTTGTATTAATACATACAACCTGTGTTATTGTATTATTACATAAGCAAGCTATGACCAACAATCTCTTAACATCTACACTCCATACAATGTGAGGCAACTATTTCCTTTCGGGTGGGAAAAAAGTTGTGCCTTGCTCAAGAAGCAGCCCAAAAAGCGCGAAATCTCCTATTTAAATGAGTTAAGAAACCACCCACGATTTTGTTATTACATACAACTTCTGTTATTGTGTTATCACATAGCCAATGTTTCCAGCAATAGCTGACGTGCACTGTTCTGGTAATCAATTTTCAATGTTTTGAGGCTACATAACGTTCCCAAAAAAAGCAGTTAGTTTGATGCTCGCTTGTACTGAAGAAAGATCAGGCAGGCTACTTTACTTGGCAAGGCGTCGCAGCGAAAATAACATTGAATGGGGCAGGAATGTAAGAAGAGATGCTATCTCCATAAGACTCCGTCATTTACGTACCTGTTTCATTGGTTCTTTTTTTTTAGCCATGAACGTTTGCTTCAATAAACATTTTGACTATGCCAACACGGTTTCAGCTTGTGTAGATAACTGCTGTTTGAGGAAGTAAACTCTCATATTGTGGACTGGCATATATCAGCTCAGTGTAATCTTTCGCAGAAATGTCAACTGTGTGTGTGTGGGGGGGGGGGGGGGGGGGGGAGTAGCATACGCTACTCTCACCTTTCAGCGAAGCCACAACGTAACCGCACTGACACACTCGTCTCTTGTTCTTTCAGGAAAACGACACCGAGATTGTGCGGGGTTTAATCAACGTAAGTTCAAGTTCCAGTTTCTTAGCAGTATCGCAAAATGCAACGCATATAAGGAAGTGCAGCATTTTCATTTTCAGAAGGCCCAGAAGTAATATCTGGATGGGCCTCCCGTTAGAACTGGTCTAAGCAACTTTAGCTAGTACAGCGCGAGAAAATATCCTTAGCTGTATCCTACATATGTTTACGTGCCCATGAAAAAATGAGGCACTTCCTGGAAAGTAAATATGGGGTCTAGAAGAGTTCTGATCTCGTCTGCACAGAACGGACTGCATTGCTTAGAATGAAGATGAAACTTGCAGTTTGATTTAGTAAGTTCACAGTATCAGTTAAACGATCTCCGCAGATGTACAATGTGGTCAATTTCCAGTGAGATGAAAATAACACCCCCAGACTTGAATTTCCACAAACGACGCAGGGGGCTAAAAGAAGAGACGATGACACACAGTGCACAACACAGATTGTGTGTTTTGTACATGTATTGGTTCTGTGATGCAACACTCACTATCATGAACCAACAAGCCCAACTGCCAGCCATTCGGCTGTAACGTGTCCCGTTTACATTTATTCTTCTGACTGCAAGCTTCCAAATGATGTCCTGCGCCTAAGATTTTCACACCTCCGAACGTACCGCCCAATAACTGCCATTTTTGCCGACCCTTTCCAGCGTGTTCCCTGATGTATGCACTGAAGGTATTCACCCTGAAAAAGCAATGTGCACAGCTGCGTAAATCAATTAATTGATAGAACCGCGCACCACAGTATCTTGTGACTGATGAAGTTCCATTACCTTCATCTTTTGACGATACGCGGCTCTTTCACACGCTATATTGTACACCCCAAACATGAATTCTTTGCGCAGACAAGTATTTATACAAATAGTATGTGTACATCTTTAAATAGTTGTAATCATCAAAATATTTCCTGGCACTATATACTTGAGAAAAAAATGGCGAGTTTTACAGAGACCAAGATCAATGCTGTAGTTACCTTCTACAGACCACGTAACATGTTAAATTCTTAGCATTTCATTACCTAATTGCTATTCGCATTCCACAGCACATGATTCTAGTTTTCTATACATTTCGTATAGTGTGCAAAGCCTGGATAGTGTGTACTCGGAATATCTTCTAGGCTGTTTTGTGCCAATCCACCACTCTAATTTACTACTAACCTGTACCCTCCTTATGCACAAGTATGTTTTCTTATAACACATTTAAGTGTGCCCTTCCAGATGAAATATGTCCTAGGATTAACCATGAGTCTCAAGGTAAATCTGTAGACAAATATTCATAGGCGAAAGTCGGCTGTTAATAAATAACCATCTTGCCATCTTTTCGCCATCTCATATTGACCCTTACTGAAGGCTTCGGAACAGCTAATAGGAAGTGATAATTGGTTTATTCCACGGTTTCTTGCAGTGCACCAGCTACGACCCTGAATATAAAGTTCTCGCCCTGGCACTTGCGCTCAATGCTTCTGTGGCAGCAACTCTTTCAGAAGAAGACCGCAACGAAAGTTTCGGCAAGTTCACCAACGTTTACCGTTTTTTTTTCGTGCAGCAACAGCGATATGGAGACGTATAACAAGCGAAACGGCATTCATTCGCATTTCTGCTAAAGGCGGCCGGTTCCGCTTATTGCTTCGGTGTGGCCGTCTTCAGATGGTGACCATATTGCTCGGCCTCATAGTCGTTCGAGGCATTGAACACTTTTCGCGGTTCTGCTTTCTCTGTCCATACTCACGTTGCTGCGGTCGACGCTTTTCTACTATTTTTAGTTTTTAATACGATAGTCTTTCTTGGGTCCCTTCGACGCAAAAATTTTGGTCTCTCTATCTGTACAATTGTCTGTTTGCTCGCCTTTAACGTTACGCTAAACGGCAGCAAGGTGGCGAAATGGTCCTCCGAATGGCCGACCCCATCCACAGTGCCCACCAATATTGCTCAAGGTTCAGCGTTCATACTTGTGCGATTGTCAAATGAAAAGCAACTATTGCGCATATCTGAGGCACTATAACAACACTTCAATATTCTGTATGCGTGTCTCTTACTAGAAAAGGCATGCATAATTAATTCTAAGAACCTCAGCGTATATCAAGTTGCACTGACCATGCAACGTTTGCACAAAAAGGCAAGTGTTTCCAACGCTTTGCTAAGACGACACGGTGGTGGCGCCTATCCGTCGCCTTGCGTTCTACACATTATAACCTCCGAGACGAGCTTTCCAAAATAACTGCCAGATAGCGCTCGTGTCTCACGTGTGACGTGACTTGATGCGCTCGTTCGCCTCCGCTGCACGCTCGAGGCACTCTAACGCAGCGCCTCCAGAATACAATTCGCCGATTTTCTTGCGCAAAACATCATATAAACTTTTTGTTCACTCTCTCCAGACGCAAGACTAGCGTCTTTCGACGACATTTGCAGTTTAACATGCAGATACAGGGCTATTTTTTTAGTGGCACGAAAACAGTGCGTGGTGTTTGCGTCTCTTCTGCCATTATTTTGTCCTGCTTGAGCATGCTCCGCCAGCTACGCCGTCTCCGTTTGTGTCCACATTTATGTAGTCTACGTGAGCACGTGATGACCACCTTTATTGGCGGGCCATGTTTTTTAATCGCTTTGTCTACATAAAGTCGTCTGCCGTCCGCCTAGGTGTTACAGTGGGTACAGTGCGCAAGCTACTGCCCAGAGAACTGCGAGTTCCATCCTTGCTGCGGCGGTCGCATTCTGATGTAGCTGAAATGGTGGAGGCCTGTGAACTCTGTGATGTCAGTGCAAGCTGAGGAGCACTTGATGGCCTAAAGTTTTTGAAGCCCTCAACTGGGAATGCATCATCATTGCGCGTGGTTTTTGGCACGTAAAACAACAGTCCAGATAATATTATTCGGGTCGTGAGCCGGCCAGGAACCCCTTCTTTGACGTTCATTGTGTAGAAGAGGTACATAGCCTCACTCTAAAAACACAACCAATAGGAATGTTGTGGGTGGCGTAAAACATTCGAGTGTCGTCAGACCCTATACGCCGTTTGTTTCATGATGTTCATATGTTACAATAATGTTTAGAAAGTTAGGAGGGTCCTTTCTCATAATTAGGTTCATTCATCAGCTGTACTTTGGGGTCTTTCACTAATTAACACCAGGCTTACTGGTGCCACTCACGCATGACCCAACATGCATCTGGGCTGAAATCTCGCCCTTGAAATGTTCGAGAAATCGTTTGAGTCAACGGTTACCTCATCGGAAAGAAAGAATATTAGTGGGCGGAAATGGAACCACGCATCCGAACACGCGCAGTGATTTTTGCTTGCCCAGGTTCCAGATAATTGCGAGTTCTTGCTTAAAATGGCAGCTTGTAGGAACAAAGAATCCAAGCACACAAACTCACGTTGGCTTTAGACGAAACCTTTTTCAGCCCTTCATTTAATCTCGTAGATTGTTGATCATAAGGGTCAGCTAACGATATCATCTCCTCTCAGAGTATACTAGCCTGTTGTCGCATCTGGAAGTGAAACGTAAATCCGGAGGGCTTCGTTGCACTGTGTTGATCCCACTATATTCCCATACACTTGAACGCCTCATGATCGACTGGCTATTTGGTAGTTAGTTCTATCTCCTAATTATTCCTCGTGATCTGAACCATGAACACCCGTTCATGGTTCAGATCCAAACATTGTTGGCGGAAGTTCTAATACCGCCAGAAGCTATTGAGTCAGTCGGCTGGCCGCCATGATTGCAAGTCTTCTTTTATCGTGATAGCTTGCACACCTTTATGGCCATAGCATTTACACGAAACTCCAAGTATATGACGCCGTCATCTTGAAATTGCCTCTTAAGCCCCAGGGTAATAGCGATCACACAGGTTGTCGTGTGTCGTATGTGCGAGTGAATGCTTGCACGGTTCTGCTGATGGTCGCGGCTCCAGCGGAGAGCAGATACGCAAGCCGCTTTCTTTCACGAGGTAGGCACAGGAAGGATCCCGTAGATAGGGCTGCATGAGCCCGGAAGTGACTGCGTATTTGAGGGGTCGGGCGCAGTCAGGCGCGCCCTATTCTTACTGTTAATAGCGGATCCTGCACTTCTGTTAGGTAGCTACACTCGCCGCATCAGTCACGTTTTCTTGCGATAGCGTCTCTTTTAGTTAGGCCGAGTTGGACGCTAAAAGAGTTCGATGCTAGACTTCATTCGTATAGTGTGTGTGGCTGTCACATTCACTGTTTTGTGCTCGCGGCGCAGCCATGGCCTTTTTTTTTCTTTAGCCATTACAGAGTTTATTGTACGGTGGTGCTCCAATGGGTATGCTCTACCAAGCAATATTTTCAACTACACATGCGAGCAGTACTTGGCTATGGTTCCAGTTACCTGTGACACTCCGGTTACATTGAGCGTTCCTGATATCAACGGCTTGGGGACGGTAAGAGGCACCACTCTCAAAAATTCTAGTTATACTGATGCTGATGTCTTAGTGAGAACTCGTCGATGGGCGAGTGTGTTATTACGTGACATGGTGATCTTACCGCTGAAAGATACGAACACTTGTGAGAGACAGAGAGACCCTGTCTGAATACGCTTTGCACCTGTTACGCTTTGCGCCTGTCTGCCTCTCACATATGTTCCTATTTTTCTAGCCCTAAGACCGCCATTTCAAGACTCTTGTCGCACTATTCTTCCTTCCCAAAGCTTTTTTTTTCTAGTTATGTGTACTAAATCTCACGAGGGTATTTACTGTTAAAAGTTACCATGACACCATTCTCCCGAGTACCACACAATGAAAATAGTCGAGTGTCTGAATGAATAAAGCTGTGCGCTCGCTTTGTATCGATCTGCTTATTACCGTAGGGACCATTACCCTAACGCCCTCAATTGCTGTTCCCTCTATCGAATTGATTGACAAAATTTTTTTCAAAATGATTCATTTTAGCAAGCGTAACATTATATTTCTTAACCTAACCGGCATTGTCTAGTAAACCAGGTCGCAATCGATTTACATAAATCCTAATGCTAAAAGCCAAGCTAGTTCGTTCAATAGCGTGGTCACGGGGCCAAAAAAAAGAACCACGTAATTATGTATGCGCGTACAAATTTATATGCTCTGATTGGCCTAGCATTTACTGTCAGCAAGGCTTCGACGGGTTTAGGAAAAGAAGCTGTATATAAGTAAGTGCAAGTACAGCCACGTTATTTCATGAAGGAAACATACGTGTAGGTGGTAGATGGCCTTGAACCACGCAAGCGGCGATGCACAGGGGCGAAATCTGAAAATAGGAGAGAGTAGTACGTTCTTTTTACAACCTACAATCCTGCCACGATAGTGTCTTTATTTTACGCTTCCTTTCTGATACCTACTGTTCGCATATTTCGGTGAACAATGATTGCTTTAGATAACGATTGTTTCTACTGCAGCGGCGTGGGTCCCAAAAATATTAGGCAATAAAAAATAAGGAAAACTTTGAGAAGGTGTGCACCACAAAAACCAGAAGTGCATCATCACTCTTTTCTTATTGCCACATTTCGCCGCGGTGCTGCAGTACATGGGCGATACGAGGCTATTAGCGATAGGCTCCCGTGTTCAGTTTCATAAGAATGACGGCTGTGCAAAAAGACTAGTGCGCTGGTCCTTGAAATGAAAACAAAAATTATTTTTTAGTATTTATGAATTAGCCGAGGATAGATGCTCTTAATTCAGTATGCCCTGTGATCTGGCAGCGTTCCGGGTGCTCACGTTCAGCCTTGGCTGATCGCTAAAGTTGTAACTAGCCTCCTATAGATCCTGGATGTGGTAAGAGTTGGGGTTTTTACTAGTAATTTTCGACATCTTCCTGCAGCATTGAGGCGGAAACTTTAGAATCATAATCAAACGCGAGAATTCATCGTCAACGTCGGCGTCTCGCTGCGCTCGGAACAATACGAGTGATGCAAAAATAAAAACATTACGCCATGAGGTCGCCAGAGGGGGTCATCATGACGTCACACGTTTACCCATTTTTCTGATGTCACCAGGACGTCCTGGAGACGTCACATGACGACGTCATCACATGGCACCGCAGCTTATTCAAAGGTGGGCCACGGAGTCATCACGGATGCAGTTCAAATTCAGGGGAGGTACCTTCGATCGTGGAGGCCTTGCAAAAGCACATTGGGTGGATGAAGCTATGAGAGGGTTGGGGCAGCAGAGTCAATACATGGACTGAGAAGAATAATAAGGTGGCTGTCATCTTCACACTACTTATTTGAATGCGTAAGGGACCCTGTGAGTTCTTGGAGAGACCTGGACTCACAGCAGAAGCCAAATTCCAAATAAAGTACAGCGGGCGCTATATTTCAGGTTCACCGTCCGAACGCGTTCACCTGCAGACCCAGAAGTAGTCCTTCCTCATCTATACATCCTGACTTGTGCGCAAAAAGGAACCTATGATTGTGGTATCAAGTTGGTGGAGTGACATAATCAAATCAACTCGATTCGGTCATGTCTATCTTTTACAAAGGCTCCTCTAGCTCAAAATCAACATTAAGGCTACCTAAGTCTAGAATCGTATAAAACAGAACCCTAGAAGACGGCAGCATCATTAGGCCTGATTGAAACTCAGTTCCAAATGCAGTAACAGTGACTCTGTGACCAACACTTAAAATAACACTCCGAGATGTTGTGTTTCAAATTATAAGCAATTATTGATGCAATTTGTATAATGAGAAAACAAAGTGTCATTAGGTTCATACTTCCACAATGCACGTATGAAGAACAATTAGCCTGTTTTAAAATGATGAGCGTAAGAACGAGGTACGAGTTCTCTTTTAAAACAGTAAACTCACAATGTGTAAGGCATCTTTGTAATTCACGATTTCTTTCATTTCAAAGTGCGCTGAGCGAAACAAGATCGCAAATCACTGCATGGAAGGAGACAACATCACCGTAAGTATGAAAGCATGCTGCATTGAATATGCTACACTACTCGTGAACATAGGTAACTATGATTTCTTAGGTTTCTTATGCGGCTTTTTTTACTCTTAGATTACAGTTCCTAGGTTGCATTTGTTGCAGTAAGTTGTACGATTTCTTGTGTAGACCACAGGTCCTACAATTCGGACAAATAGTTTTAAGCGACCACTTCTGCGAATGATGTTTTATTTTTACCAACAATGAATGGGTTAAAAAATAAAGCTTAAGAAAGGTTGTCATTTCTGTTTAATTTTTTCAGACATTTCTTCAAACACTTAGCTGCGGATTTTCATTGTTTTGTGCTTCAGGAAATATTTTGGGTCATGGAAGTGCTTTGCAGATTTCAAATATTGATGTTTGTATTAGCAATAGTCATTTTAATGATAATAGTAATAAATTTAATAAATGAGGTTTTAAGTCACAAAACACGATAAAATAATGAGAGACTCCGCAGAGGAAGATTACGGGAATTGGGACCATCTGGTACGAGCTTTTTAACTTGCCCTGACATCATACAGTACACGCGCTTCTACTCTTTCGCCTCCGTGTGTGTGTGTGTGTGTGTGTGTGTGTGTGTGTGTGTGTGTGTGTGTGTGTGTGTGTGTGTGTGTGTGTGTGTGTGTGTGTGTGTGTGTGCGTGTGTGTGTGTGCGTGCGTGTGTGTGTTTGTGTGTGTGTGTGTGTGTGTGTGTGTGTGTGTGTGCGTGTGCGTGTGCGTGTGTGTGTGTGTGTGTGTGTGTGTGTGTGTGTGTGTGTGTGTGTGTGTGTGTGTGTGTGTGTGTGTGTGTGTGTGTGTGTGTGTGTGTGTGTGTGTGTGTGTGTGTGTGTGTGTGTGTGTGTGTGTGTGTGTGTGTGTGTGTGTGTGTGTGTGTGTGTGAGTTGGTGAAGGAGGGAGCGAAATTCCTGTGCGAATTCTTTTCTCCTTTGGTTCATGTCTCACATAACTTTCTTTTCTGTAGTGGCAAACTTTTCAGGATCTGCTTGGCTTAGTACGGGTGAGTCAATCTTCATCTTATTCGCAACAGGGCTAGGAATCACGATGAAAGTTTACTTTTGCAGTAGTATGATTCAGTACCACTTCTTCACTACTGGAAATTATTACACGCGGGAAATCGAGATGTTATTAATTTTTGCTTACATTCGAGAAATAAGATGAGTCAGCTACAACTAATTGAAGAATTCTGATAGAAGCATTCTAATTGTACAGATATCAAACATATTCAACTTAAAACATTCTTTGCTTGACAGCAACATCTTTTATTGTAATACATGAAAGAAGCTGCGTACTGCCACCATAGGTGAAGACTTCGTTGAGCTGTACTCTCCTCACGAAGTTTAGTACAGAGGCGACAAAAACCTTGCAGGCATGTAGATGGAAACCACAACCAAATCTAAATTTCTCATCAGTTATGAAAAAAATTGACGTGGTACGCTGATAATGATGGTGTCATAACGAGGGTGAAACAGTGCGCCTATGAGGCGTAATATTCGGCAATGCGGTATTCTGACTATAGCTGGCCCTGCAGATTATAGACTACAATAAAGAGCTAGCATTCTTAACCAGTGCTCAAGTGGTAGGCGACTACTAAATTAGAAGTTCTTAGATCATGGCTGTTTTAACTGCATGGTTGTCACAGCAGACTTTGCGATAAAGCTCTTCAAATAAGTTTGCATTGGAGTCACCTATGGCGCAATGTGAGTGTGGTATTTTCAATTAACAGATAAAACCACGTACATGACTACGCCTAATTTCATATGGCTACACAGAGCACTGGGTGGAATCCTGTAACCAAATACAACTTAAGAAGACCGGAGAGGCTCCGCCAAGACGGCTCAGGAGCATCCTTCAATCAGCTTCATGAATGAAGGAGTAGTGCTGCACAAGCACTCGGCAATGTTCTCCATAGGCAGGGTCACCAACCATTGGGCTCGAGACGTCTGTCTGTACTGCGTGCCTATTTGCGCACGCGTGTGTGCATCTGCCTTTGAAGCGAAACGGCAGTGGACTTCTAAATTTGTGTCCGATTACAGAGGTTTCTAGATTAAACCACGTGAAAATGTATGCAGTAATCGCCAACGCGATACGCAGACGTGATGTCTCTCAATCGGGCAAGCTCTGCAATCAATTTCATTTTCGTTTCAGTGTATCTACTTTAGCATTGTACCAAGCCTTCCATTTCCGGATGATTGAAGAACTTACAAGAAACCAATCGAAAGGCATGCGATGCATGGTATCTTGGACTGCTACAAACGTAGTCAGATGTCGCTTAACTAAATAAAGTGCACAAGTTTTAATAAGCAAGAATTTGTTCTGTTTGTTTCTGTATATGATTGATTCTGTGGTTCGTTTTCAATATGATCAATTCTGTGACTGAATATGGTCAATTCTGTCACTCGTTTTGAAATAACGAGTCGCAAGTGTGACCGAATTCAATGGCATTGAAAAGCCGTCTTGTAAGCCCTGCAAAATCATTTCGGCGCTGACTGAGAAAAAAAACTCACCAGCTACTTTTGCATACACCAAGTTCAAGCGAAGGTAAAAGCCACTTTATTTTTATTCTCAGGCGATTTATTGATGATCCCCACCGCCCTCCGAAAGCGTTGTGTACATGAGGTGCGTTTTCGCATTCCCTTCAGCAATGAAGGCACTTCACCTGCTTTAGCCTGCTCGAGTGGGCCCAGCTTTGGCTACTCACGATCTCATGTGATGATGCCACAAATTTTCGATATCTATGACGTCATATGACATCATATAGCAAACGCGCTCACATGATAATCTTTTGCATCAGCGGTGTTGGCCTCCACGTCGTGGAACGCCGACAATTTTCGCCTTTTATGAAGCATCTGGAGCTTTCAACTAAAAAAGTGAACTGGGAACTCGATGTCTTCCACGAACGGCCCCAGAAGCCATACGCAGACAGAACTCACCCCCCAAGCAGTCCCTACAAATGGTACCAGCGAAAGCTGAAACGTGCGGCCTCGGTGTTTAGCAGCTGGTTCAACCCGACGCTGCACTGAAGCCTTTCACAATTAATGGTTACATGTTCGTGCTTCTTAATCAGGTTCGACACGCGTTTGGATTTGGTTTACAGGGGTGATTATTTCACATGCTGCATATTGTGCATGGCATGACCATAGTCATCGAGGAGTGTAATGAGTGGCTAAATGTGTTTCACAATCAATTATTCGCAGCAATTTTCCCTGGAACCACAGGCAGTCACAGATGTCGCAGCCGAAAACTAAGTTCCGCGGAAAAAACTCCTGCCTAAATCACAGTTCGCCCCGGCGAACACGCTTCTGAAATCGTCACCTCGGCACTGTTGTGCCCGCAACGGCGTTTGTTCAACGCGCCGTTGTTGCGAGCGTTTGAAATAGTAAGTTAACTCGACGACGTGATCTGCAGGATCCGCCCGCCACTGGTGCTTCCGTACCCATTCATGATTTAGCGTGGCTTGGAAGGCCGTCGGATCGTCGGCACGCAGTTCCCGCCGGCACTCGGCTTCCCGGGCCTGTATTCAGGTGCGAAGCTTTATTAAGTGTATGCTGGTTCGTTGCCCCATCGTACGTAGCCAGCCGCTAGTACCACAGAACACCTACAAGTTTCTAGTACTCGAGCGCCCATTAAATGGTTCTGCGGCGCTTGCTCCGCTACCACGCGCCACTCCTACGTGCCATCGAACGCACTTTCTTTATCTCGACAGTCGTCAGTCCATGCGCTTCGATATCAATGATATTGATATAGAACAGCCGCCGCAGCCTTGCTGCATGAAAGAGACAGACGACGTCGGTTGCTGGTTGTTGATAAAGTGGCGCCATCTTGTTCGCCGAGCTCGGCGCATCGCATATATTTCAATAGGTTACTCGCAACAGTATTGGTGGAGGTGCAAGGTGACAAGGACGAAGACGAGGCGGTGCAGTGGAGGGCTCGTAAGGCGATTGCAGTACGGGCTCGCCATGAAGACTCGGAGGTGAGAGCTCGAGGGAACAAAGCAGCGGGCTTGTCATCAACGACTACAAGCTCCGGTCCCAAAGATGGTGAGCTCTCGCTCAACGGCGGCACAACGCGCACAATGAGAACGTTCCTGGCGCTTAGAGCCCGTTAAGCGGCAGCGGCACGGAAGCGCTGGCAAGTGGATCCCGAGGAAGTGCAGGCGAGAGATGCTGCAGCCAAGCGACTAAAGCGATCGCCACCTGAGTTTGGTGGTGCTGATATGCGCGACTTTCAAGATCGCAGTTTCGGCAACAGCATCAAGGTTTGCGACCGCTTGTGGTTCGATAACTATTTGACTACCGTCTTCAGCTTCAGAAACGAGCAATCCCGTGCCAACAGCGTTCGCCGTTCTACAGCGGTAGTTTGCCGCCACCAGTCAAGATCGCAGTGAGTACCCAGTGTGCTCTACTTGCAGAGACTCTTTGGTGGTGTGCAAAGTCCCCACCATGAGCGTGTCTTCGCCCACTCATCATTTACCACCGGAGCGCCGCCCACTCCTCATCATTCACTTCGTGAGTATGGCGGGATTTTTTGTGTCCGGACTACACCGCTGGCCCGCCGAATGTGAGCTCTCTGACGTTTCCGCTGTTGACGCTCTTTTAGAGTTGTCTGTGGCTTACACGTGTGTAAGCTCTCAGTGGAAACTGACGTGCGCATGCTCTGCTAGAAATGCTCTGCAGTTTTTAATGAAATCAAGGGCTCTACTCTATATTTCAGTACACGATCATAACTATCATACATCAGCCTGGTTTGCAATCCCTAGATTTTACTTAACATATTGCCACCTAGAGTTGTGAGCCGGCAAGCCCTAGTGAGCCAAAAAGGGCAAAGGGAACGAAGAAGGAGTGTGGTTAGCACCTCGTTCTGAAGATACACGCTCGTGTCTTTCTGCCCCGCTGTTCCTGTCTTGTCTATACGGCTCTTGGTGCATGACAAACTGGTGGAGGTGCTGGGTAATCTATGCACTGTACTCCTCCACATAGCAGGAACACAAGCGGCGTACCGGTCGTCACACCTGTGCATCGCGCCAGCAGAAGAATCTGAGGGCTATCTCCTGAGTTTGGACTGCTCGCAAACAACATGGCAGCTCCGACCAGCCGGTTGTTGCAGGTGCAATGAAGCGGCGTTGTGCCGTTCGTACCGACACCAACCCAGCCGGTACGAACGGCACAACGCCGCTTCATTGCACCTTACTCACACCACGAACGCCAAATTCCTTTCATGGCACTGCACTTGAAGATGTAGAAGATTGGCTTGTTCATTACGAGTTTGTTGCCGTGCACAACCAGTGGGATGACGCAGACAAACTGCGGCACGTCTATTTCAGTCTTTTGGACGGCGCACGTGTCTGGTATGAGAACCAGGCAGGTATTCTCACATCATGGGAAGACTTCAAACGCCGCCTTCTTGGGACATATGCCAGCCCTGACCATCGGGAGAGAGCTGAGCGCGATCTGCAGTCCCGCATACAATTGCCGAACGAAGGGGTCGCGATGTATGTCGAAGAAATGACGCGCCTTTTCCACCGAGCTGACCCCGGCATGCCAGAAGAAAATAAGGTACGGTACCTTATGCGCGGGGTGAAAGAGCAGCTTTTCGGTGGACTTGTACGCAGTCCACCCAAGACTGTGTCTGAATTTCTCACGGAAGCCGTCACCATAGAAAGCACTCTTAGGCACCGGGCCCCGTCATACGAACGGCACGTCAACGCTTCAACTACGGACTACTTAGGAGCTTTCGGTGGCCAAATAGATTTCTTCCGAGAGATCATACGTTCAGTCATCCACGAAGAACTCCAGAAGCTGTCAGTGCCCTCGCAGCCCACTACCTCCTCGTTGTCCAGCGTTGTCCGAGATGAAGTCCAGCATGCCTTAAGAGAACCGCCTTGCATGCGGGATTATCAACCACCCAGTGACTTTCCCCGCATGTCGTATGCTCAAGCTTTGCGGCAACCTGTTAAACCTGCAATTCCGCATCCCACCGTGGCCCCAGCCATGCTGCAGACGGTCCAAGCGGCGCCATATTACAGCGCACCTCGCCTGATCTCGCGGAAGTCAGACGTCTGGCGTGCGCCAGATCGACGTCCTCTCTGCTTCCAATGTGGTGAAGCTGGGCACCTGTACCGACAGCGTCCTTACCGACAACTTGGACTACGCGGATTTTCGACGAACTCACCACCACCGAGGTTCGGTCAGCGGCCCCCTGAAATTGAAGAGTATGTGGCTCAACAGCGCGGAACTTTGTCATACTTGCGCCAGTCACGCTCCCCGTCACCGCGGTGATTTTCTCCTAATCGCCGCACCTATTCGAGCGTGGCGCAGGGTCGGTCACCCAGTCCACGCCGGGAAAACTAACCACAGCGACCTTCTGGGGCGAGGCCGCTCATACTGGACAAGCTCAAGGCTTCCTACCGACGCTTCCGCAAACTGACGATTCTCCAACGACGACGACGACACCAGCTGGTTCCGCAAAAGTTTCATTGGATATTCCAGTGCTGCTCGACGGTCGCAAAGTCAGTGCTTTAGTTGACACGGGTGCGGATTTTTCTATAATAAGTGAAAAACAGGCTGCTCTCCTAAAGAAAGTGACGATGCCTTGGAACCTCAGGCCAATTCGTAGTGCTGACGGGCACATCGTCATGCCACTCGGCGTTTGCACAGCACGAATACAGATTCGTGGTTCTACCTTCGTTGTCAGCTTGAGCGTTCTCCGTCAGTGTTCTCGAGACCTGATCATTGGCATGGACTTCCTGAGTGAGCACGGTGCTATCATCGACATTCGACAACGCCTCGTCACGTTCTCGACAAAAAGCGCCACCCCAGAGCATAATCTCAGCCATGATCGAGTATGTCTGCGGGTAATTGACGATGCTGTGACGATACCACCGCGCTCAAGTCTTATGGTTCAAGTGGCGTGTAACAAGTCAGCATACAGTGAAATGGTGGCGGAGAGCCATCGATCCCTACTCTTTTCCCAAGGTCTCTGCGTAGCACGAAGCCTAGTAGACCTACAGGCTGGCCACTGCGAGGTACTTGTTACGAACTTCAGCTACGAGCGCCGACACCTTTTCCCTGGTACTGTCATCGCCTATGCCTACCCAGTAACCAATGTGACTGAGTGTTTTGCTTCCGAGGCAACCGATAATGCCGAAGCACATCTCTGGGGCGTCGATGTAAATCCAACGCTTTCTGACGAAACCAAACGAAGGCTTAATGACCTGTTGATAGAATTCCAAGCCTGTTTTGCACGTTTATCGAGAATCCGTCAAACATCGATTACTAAACACCGTATTACCACCTACGG